TTCAGCCACTTGACGTTGTCTGCTTTTTGCCTCTTAAGCACAAGTACTCTCAACGCGTACGAGACTTGGCACGCCACCATGTCTGGCATATTAATAAGGAGCGCTTCCTTCCAGCCTTTCGAGACGCGTTTTTTGACGTGTTTACGTCCGATAACTGCAAGAAGGCCTTTGAGGCAGCAGGGCTAGTCCCTATCGACGCGCAGAGAGTTATTGATCGCCTTGACGTACGCCTTCATACTCCACCACAAGAAGCTCAGCTAGAAATACCCTGGACGTCAAGAACACTAAGTAATTCGCATGAATTTGAGTCACAATCAAAGCTTGTAAGAGAGTCTTTCGTACGATCGCCAACTACTGCACAAGAAGGCTTTTCAAAGCTTATTAGTGTGGGTGGTCAATGCGTGCAACGGGTCAGACAATGCAACACCACCACTAAAATGTCCGCCTATCAAAAATGAGGCTGTAGAGCACCATACAAAAGCTATTATCACGAGATTCTTTAGTAGAGTAGTCTAAATAGTTCAAAAAACAATCCTATCTACTCAAATTTCTTTGGCAGTTTAATGTTGCGGCCGCGCATCGTTGTTTTGGTGGTGGGCTGCGCAGCCGACGATGCAGACGCACCACCACTTTGGCTGCCTGCATCGCCACCACCCTTTGACTTTTTTGACTTTTGAGACGATGAAGCTTTTCGTTTAGGTATATTTTGCTTATCGCGAGCTTTTTTTAAAGTTGCGACTGCGCGATCGCGAGCTTTTTGGGCGCGTCTTAACTAGAGTTCTTTGGCCCTCACTTCTCTCTCTTTATCTCTCGCTATTTTCTTTAACTCCCGCGCAGTCCTTGCTTTGTCTATTAATTTTTCTCGTAGAGCTATACTAGCAGCTCGTTCCTGTTGTTTCTATTTTTTTTTGGAGTTTTTCAAGCTCTTCTTGGTGTTTTTTTTGACGTTCTTGAGCTCTCGCATCTTCTATTGTCCTAGGACTCCACACCACCGCCGGAGTATGATACTGCTTGCTTTGCTGGAGCTCTAGAGGCTTCTTTTGCTTCTTTGGATGATTTTTGATAGCAAGTACTTCTCGTAGATTGGTGTTTTCGTGGTGCAAAATCTCGTTGTTGACCTGGAGTGAAGCAATGGTGTCTTTTACCGCAGAGACCATAACTTTAGCACAACCCGTCATAGTTTTGTCTAGAAAATTAGACAGCTCTCTTGTAGTATCCCCATTACCATGCTCTCTAAGTTCTGGATTAATATCTTGTTGTGGTGTTGACTTTTTGAGATGTTTAAGCACGGCATTACCATCCTGCGGGTGGACGCTAGTAGCTCGAAAACAGCTTAGTATCTTGTTGGACGTGAACGCCCGTGTCCACGCCGCCTAAAATAACCATAAAAAGTCACTTTTGTGCACCTCCACCAAGCCTTGACTGCGGTGGGACAGACTATTGAGTTCTTCGGTATACGCGCTCGAGAGGGGCTTGAACATGCCAACGTCGAGTGGCTGGAGTCGGTGAGATGAGTGGGGAGGGAGAGTAGCTAGGAGAATCCTGTTAGAGTCACAAAACTCTCGAAAACTTGGAGTCTGATGACTCCCATGACCGTCTAGGATCAGCAACTAATAATCACGCTTTGCTTTGTCTTTCGTTTGGCGCTAAAACACCTGCTTAAGCCAAGATAGCCCTAGAATATCGTTACTCTAGCCCGAGTCGCTAGTAGCAAAAAACATCTAGTGTTGGGAAGGATCTAGGTGCTCTACCTAGTTGTTTCGAAGTCCAGCTTTGCCCTCAAAGATTATCATAGGCGATATCCAGCTCCCGTCAGCACAAATACAGTCTAAAGTTGTTATCCACTCCCTGCTGCCGTCTCTAACAGCTGCTCGAACTTTCTTTTCATCCCAAAGTCTCTTAGAGAACACCCTTTTGGTCCTTGAAGTGACACCAAGGAGAAAGCCCTTTTCGTCCATATTATAGATATTTTGCGGCTGGATATCGTATTTCTCGATATAATCGTGAAGTAGACGGAAGTAGTTATAGTAATCTTCAAAATCGTCAGCTTTTTTGCAGTTTTGGTCGATGCCGGCGGTGTTTCTGGTGATAATTTTCTCTCTGTTCCGCCGAAGAAATCTTGTAACCCAGCTGTTAGATGGCTGTCTTTTTGCAATATTAGCAACACATTTTTTAATCATCTCTTGGGACGGTGAAGTACTACGCTTAGAGAGTTTTTCTATGTGCTGGACAAGGTATTTCTCTTGTTGTGGTGAGAGTAGTCGTCGTGGGTGTGCAGCGGCTGCACGCGACCGCGTTTTGTTTTGGTGGCGACGCGTTAAAGTTGATGCCGCAACACCATATATTTTTGCAGCTGTACGGTACGAGATTTGTCCTTCTAGACCTTGCGAATTGATTGCCGCAAGCGCTTTTTCGATAGCTGTCATAGTGGTGGAGTTGTGGGGATTTGAAATTGGTGGGTTCTACTTTGGGAGATGCAGGGGGTGTTGCATTGTCTGACCCGTTGCACGCATTGACCACCCACACTAAAGGGGCTGAGGAGATGCTACATAAGAATGTGCTTATAAAGGCCCGCGTAAGAGAGCTTGAAGAGCAATTAGCAGCAGTAACAAAGCGCCGAGGGCGCAAAAGAAAGCGAATTCAGACAGGTGGGACACTAGACTTTGGTGCAGGGGCATCGCAGGTAGCTGAAAGTAGTTCTGCTAGTCGTACGACATCAAAGAAGGCACGTGGTGAGGGTAGTCAAGAAAGGGCCCTACTAGGTCAACGGCACTGTAGAACCTGTGGGAGGACAGGCCATAACTCTCGTACGTGCCAGAAAGATGTAGAAGAAGATTCTCTTTTAGATACAAGTAAGTCGTACGAAGCATCTATAGCTAGTGTAGAGTAATCTAAGTTTTCGTACATGAAGTTCGTGATGCCAAGAAAAAGTGGCACAC